GATCGAACCACCGACCTTCTGATTAGTGGCTGACCTGCTCTGCCACCTGAGCTACAGCCACCCAGAAACAAAGCCAGAAGATGAGAGAGGAATAGTATGTGCAGACTTCCTATCACAGACACGCAGGAATGTCAGTGAAGATACTATCTGTTTCTGGTGGGGCTTATAAACATGAAAAGTGGAAGAATTCAGTTGAGTGCCTTCTTAAACCGTCTTTTATGCAAACATTTATGGCAAGATTCAACACACATTAAAAATCAGAAGGCTGAGTTAAGGCAGTCTGTGGTGGTAATCCTGTTTAGTGTTGAGGTATCAGTTCTGATCTCAGTCTCTGGTGTCTTTCTACCCCCCCCCTTCTAAAAGATGTTTGAAGGTTGCCATGGGACTGTAAATAAATCAACATAGATTTTTATGAAACAGAATGTGAGAAGAAAAATGACCATATTTACTGCTTGAGGTTAACTCTCAGGGTGGACAGAATAAATAAAATAAATAAATAAAAAATCCTGATTGGTTGATATTGTGCTTTCACCTTCTCAATTACATGAGTCACTGTAATCTGTCCTCTATGCACTTATTTAATTATGTTCTCCTAATCAGGGCTTTATTGGCTTCCAGCACGAACTTTCTATTACAACTCAAACTTTTAACGACAAATATTATTTTTCATTAAAAGCTGATACAGTTGTTATGTTTTATCTGTGTTTTTAGATTCAAAATACAGCCTCGTGAGTATTTGGTTTGCAGTATTTACCCAGCCAAAACAGTGTTGAAGATTAAAAGTTAAAACATAAATAATACATTTTAGAAGGAAATTTAAATCTGTTTTAATTGTTTAGATAATGAGCAACTCGTGCATTACTTTATAGCCTTCTGGCCTCTTTATTTAATGTCATATGTAATAAAGGAGAAGCAGTACATAGAAAGGTGTTTATGTGTGCATGTGTGTTTGAGAGGAAAGCTTGAATAGGGGCTCGTGAGGTGATTTACCCACACCCTGCCTAGAATCATAATGAGTGAGCCTTTTTCTCACCAGCACAAAGACACACTCCATCCAAGCTGCTCTCTCCTCCTACTAAACAGCAAGCGTCCGGCTAACATCACCCAGCAAACACGTCTGAACATACTGACCAAGAGGTAGTCTGAGAGCTGCCAGCTGAGAGTCATCTCACACCATCTTAGTCACATACTTCAGAAAACAGTGAAAAGGGCCAATACTGGATAGGGGGGGAAAAGGGGGGATTATTTGGTATTTTGAACTTCTGTTGCATGTTTGTGCTTTTGTTTTCTCAAGAATGGCTATCCTGGTAAAGAGAGGGCTTCAAAAGAAACACACCTTCAGGTAACTAAACTAGTATTGCAGCTATACATATGTACCTATTTGATTTCTAAACTGAATGTGATTTGGCTTCAGACTTTGTTAGTTTTTGCATTTGTTAACTTTTGTTGCTCCATTCATTTGATGGATAAAACCTACAATGATCATTTTGTTTTAAAGGGAAATGATATAGGACCAGCTTTTGTTGAGCTGTAAGAACTCGTGCCAACTTATAGATGAACATTGATCAGTCAGTTTTCTAAATGTGGATAATTAAAAAAAAAAAAA